AAAGTGTGTCATCTTGCCATCAACCAGGGAAGGCAGCCAGAAAGGTCGGTGAATGAAAGGAAACCACTGTCTGGTTGGTAAATGTGACCTATGTCCTCACAAGCACAAAAGAACTCCCCCAGAAAGCAAACAAAAAAATGTTGTCCTCCTCCCTCCTTCCTTGCAGGGAGGGGGGAGGGAGGAGGAGCCGGCCTGGGTAGGTCTGGCTGCCACCCTCCAGTTCTTTGACTGATGTAGTCGTGCCGAGTGGTTGCTGTCGCTCTGGCTCCGTGTTCCGGTTTTCTTTGGTGTTTCGCCCTTGTGGCGGTGTTATGAAACAGAGGTGTGTGTGTTGCCAAGAGTTTTGAGTACTGGAGCAGCATGTGCCTAGGGCCCCCCTTCCCTTGGGCGTTTGGGAACACTCCCCTCTAGGGGTTTCCTCACTTGTGGTTGTCCTCGCCTTTGGGGTAAGTCGGGGGTCTTGGGCTTTCCGCCCTGTCCTGGGTAGGGTGGTGTTTAATTACTGTACTGGCGGGGGTGCACTGTACCTAGCAAAGCCTGTATTACTTTCACAAGTTGTGACCGATGTTTCTCTCTGGCTGCTTGTTTGCTTGTGTGATTTAAGGGGCTTTCTTTTGTTTTCATTTTTGCATTTTCACCTGTTGTGGTGGTGGTGGTGGTCTGCCTAGCTCCTTATCACTTAAGCGTGCGGCGCGTGAGCGCTGCAGACTTCCCCAAATGCTCCCGAAGTTTCAGGCGCGTGTGCGGCGACACTGACAGGTGTATGCTCGTTTCAGTTTTCTCACCTTAATTCGTGTGCTATGTCGTTCCTTTTGGTATCATTGTGTTTGCAATAAAATTCCCAACAGGGATGTATGCATACAAGGCCCAAAAGCCCGGCGCGACCCCCCATAGCAAAGCCTAAAGTCGGCCAACCGTTACCCAGTGAGCGAGCACCAATTGGTACACCCGCAACCTAATGTGTGTACTCTTTTCAGTTTGATAATATCTATTTTCGTTTTACGTCTTTCATTTTGGTATCAAATTGTTCGCAATATAAAGTTGCGCATTTTAAAACTAGTTCCATAATAATAGAACAATAAATGGAATTTTAACAACAATTTTAATTTTTGGCTACTTTTTTTTTTTTAATTTAAATTGTCAGGCTACGTTGTCATTATGGTATCAAATTGTTAAATTGTGTGTAATCTAAAGGCTCTCATTTTGAACCCAGTTCCAGAATGATGAGATAAAAATTAGAATTTTAACAAATATTTTAACCGGGGACACGACCTGCGTTCCCGGCTCACACGTGAGAAAAATAACAGACACACAGGCATGGCTATATGCTCAAAAGTGTTATTAGGCTTAGCCTGGTTTGTAATGGTTCTCCTCTGTTGCCCAAGGTTTTGTGGCTGATATTTGCAGTTTGCCTGCTTTAGACAGGGTGTACTGGCTTAGCTGGCCACAGTGCTGGGCTTCCCATAGGGCTTATTCACTCTACAGGCCCCTGGAAAACCCATGTGGGCTCAGCCGTATAGCAGTACTACTATTGCACCTAATCTCGCCTTGGGCGACTTGGAGATTGTTCGTCGACTGTGCCTCAGCGAGACGATCATCTGTCTTGCCTCCGTCATACTGCCTGATGGTCAGGGACACTTGCTGCCTGGGGGTCGGGGACACCAGCTGCCTGGGGTTTGAGGACACCTGTTACACGAGAGTCGTGGATATCTGCGACCCGGGGGCTGCGGACACCTGCGATCCGGGGTCTGGCAGGGCTTGTTTTCCTTTTGTGCTCTTATTACTCATCCCTTCTTTAGTAATATCAGGCAGCATCCATGGTGCATGATCGGTTCTCCTTATTGCAATGGGCCTGGTTGGTTGCCCGGTTGGAGGCCCTGGAACCGCCCCTCTTGAGTTTTGGGGACTCGGTTTGAGGGTGCTGGTCGTTTCGGCTTTGGTTCCATTTGTGCCACCACCTTCCTTCCCAGGTTGACATGGTTTGCCCTGCTCTTCTCCCTCTTCCCTGCTTCCGGTTCCAAACATTAGCTCAGGGTGAGGCTCATGTGGCTTCGGGGGCTGCCCCTTCCATTGCAGGCACGGAGAAGGTTGAGCACCTCTTTCCAGCTGAGGCTTCTGAGTCGACCCAGCAGACTCCCTTCTTCGAAGCCTTTTTCCTGAACTCCGCCTCTCCTTCTGGGGCGGTGGGCGTGGACGAGGGCTCTGCCCCAGGGCTTTTGTCACTGGTTCCCGGGGCTCAAGGAGGAATCCGCTTGAAGCTCTCGTGTTTCTTTTGACCCCACTTGGGCTCTTGTGCCTTACGCTTAAGGGCTTTTGCAGGGGTGGAGATATTTTTACCCTTTGAGTGTGTTGGGTGGGGCTTTTCCCCAGGTTCATTTCCAAGGGCCTTTGGGTTCTTTGGATTCCTTCTTTTGGAGGTTTTCTTCCTCTTGGATTTCACCTGCGGTGGTTCGGGAGGCTTTCAGTGCTTACCTCCTGCAGGACCCGGTTTACACCTCGGTGCTTTCAGTTCGGCTTTTCTTCCCATCTTGCGGGTGGAGGGAATTTTTTGGTTCCAGAATTTTCCTGGTTTGCAGACAACTCCTTCTCTCTTCAGACTTGCCATGGCTATTGTCGTAACTGCACACTTGAGTGGCGGGAGATTTCCACGATGTTGCTGGTGTTCATGGAGAGGCTCTCTGGAGTTTCTCAATGAGTGAATCTTCACCTCTGTGCTTCTTTGTGATGTAGGTCTGGTGCAGCTGCATTCTCAAGTTTCCACTCCTTCAGCTACTTTGGAGGCAGATGGCTTTGGACTCACGATCATTTAGCTTCTGTTGTGTATTTGTTTAGTCGTCTTTGGATTGGCTTTCAGAGGGTGTGGGTGCGCAGGGTGGGGGAAGCCCTCGGCTGGGGTCTTGGTCCCAGCTGCTGCTGCATCATCCTTCGGTTACGTTGGGCGGCCCTTCCTCCTTGGGTTGCATCTGGGGAGGGCGGGCCCCCTCCCTGTCCATCCGTTGGGTCATCTCAGAGTGGGTTTGCCCCTCCTTTCAGATGACCCCGTTGTCCTAGGTCCAGTTCATTCTTGATCCAGGTGGTTGAATGCTTCCCAGGACTTTGTGGACACATATTGGCATGTTCCTATTTATCTGGGTTCTGGGCTTGGTTTAGTTTTGTCGTTAACAGGTGACCATTTTCGTTGTCTTCCTTTTGGGTTGGTTTAGTACCTCGCGTTTTTACGCATTTGATTCGGGTCATGGTGGTCCATTTTTGTCTGCTTGGTCTTCTGGTCTTGGCTTACCTCGACGACTGGTTGGTGTGGGCTCCCAGCTGGTCTGCTTGTCTGTTACCAGAGTGGGGTTCCTGACGCACTGGTGGTTGTCCCAGTTTGTCCCGTCTCGGGTTCGTCCTTGGCTGGGTTTTGTGGGGGATTCTTGGACTGCATCCCTCTCTTTTCCTCCCGCAACCTTGCAGTCCCACAGTTGGCTGTTTTTGTGGGGGGACCCGGGTCACTCGGTGATTGCTAGTGCGCCTGTGCAAGTGTCTGAACTTTGTTCTTCTGGTTTATCCGCTGGGCAGAGTTTGGCTTCATTTGCTGTTCTGGTATTTTTGGGGCAGCTTCTTTTGCCACTCTCGTGATCGTTGGGTTCGACGCTCAGAGTTCCTGAGCTAGTTGCTTCATCAATGGATTCCTCTTCAAGTTTTTCACGGGTAGGTGCCATTGCACCTTCCTCATCCCTCACTTGATGTGTTCACGGACACCTTGTCTGTCGGCTGGGGCTATGTGACCAGTGCTCGCCAGTCCAACCGGGGCGTTGGTGAGTGTCCTTGCGTCGGGTTCCCTGTGCAGTGTGGGAGTTGCGACTGTGGGTGGTGCTGTGGAGGATTCCATTCCTCGGGGTTCGGTGATCTGGCTCCATTTGGACTGCTCCCCTGTGATTTCTAGTCTCCACCAGAAGGGGGTCTCTTCACTCCGGGTCTCTTTGGAGCTGGTCGCTTCAGGTGGCTCTCTTGCCGATCTCTCGGGATTTAGCTCTTTCTGCCATTCACATTCAGGGAGTATCTTACGTCTGGGCGGCCAGCCTGTCAGCCTCATTACTCTTCCACGGGGGTGGATGATCATAAAGTTTCCTTGACTATGCCAGACGTATGGGTGCCCAGAGGTTCACCTCTTCGCGTCGGCATAGTCTCTGCATCTCCCATTTTTCATGGCGCTGTTACCTGACTGCGAGATTCTTGCAATTGATGCTTTTTGGTAGGACTGATCGCAGTGGGAATTCCTATACCTTTTTTCCCCTAGTCCAGCTGTTGCTCCAGGTTCTGGCTCGGTTGAAATCCTATTGGGGAAGAGTTCCTCTGGCCCCATGGTGGCCGGCCCAGCCCTGGTTTCTGGCGCTGCTTGCTTTGTGTCCGAACCCAGGCATTTCTCCACGGCTGCACCTCTTTCGGGTGGTTGACCTGGTGAGGTGCTTTGCTGGTTCGACTTATTCCTATGCGTTCCACGTCGGGCTATTCTGACACGTGTCTCGCCATTTGTTTGGTGATCAGGTGGCTTCTTTCATGGTGTCCCTCCTGAATTTTTCGTCTCGGCAACAGTATGCAGTCTTGTGGCGGTCTTTCCTCCCTTTTCTTTCTTTTTGTCAGTGTCGAACCGGGTTGTTTTGTCCTTTTTCTCTTGGTTTTCCTTGTCAGTGTCGAACCGGGTTGTTTTGTCCTTTTTCTCTTGGTTTTCCTGGGTCTGCAGCTTATGCCGA